CTGAGGTCTACGCTCGTGTCTCTGAGGTCTACGCTCGTGTCTCTTGTCTACGTCGTCTATGCCCTTGTCTAAGCTTGTCTCTGGTTTTCCCCTTGATTGTAGTTTACCTTAGTGTCGTGCTAGTTAGTTTTCCTTGTGTGTTATTTAGTCTAGTTAATTCCTCCCTGTTTTAGTTTTGACCCCTCGTGGTCCTTTTTTTTTTTGGTTTAGTTCTGTTTGTAGTGTTTTCTGTTTAATTTAATAAACCCCTCTATTGTTCCTGGAGCCGCAAGTGGGTCGTCCGCCCCTTATTTGTGCACCATGCCCCGTTCCCGTGCCATTCGGACCCATGACATGCTTACAGTGGCCACTAACTGTTCACTATGATACTGTGCCTGCGTACACAAGAACGGATGAGTTTCAGTGAAGGATCCTCTGCAAAACTGACTGTCTGCACCGGCAACATCTAAGGAGTCATTCTTTCTTATATATTTTAAAGTGAGAAGCAGCATATAAAGAGCAGCTTCATAACAGGAGCAGACACAAAGCTGCTGGGGGGGGGCAGGTCCAAAGGCACCAGCTACTGCTGGCTCGGCATTATGGCAATAGCGACACCGTCACCGGCAGCATGAGGCAAAAGGAATATCAGAATGCAGCAGCTTTATTGACTGGCAGCACAATATTGGGGCCAGTGGCCCTTGGCTTTGTGTTGCTAATAGAATTTGGCCCTCAGGGAAAAATAACTGGGGAGTCTGAGCCCAAAGATACAGTATATGCAGTGCTCACAGAAAGCTGGGATGCATGCTTAATACAGCAAAAAATGTGTGTATTTATTGGTTATAATAACAAAAATCATTACTTCATTCAGTTACCAAAAAAATCACAGAAAATCAGTAATTTTAAGTAAAACATGCATTTCAAGTATTAATGAATTGAAACCCAAATTATAGTTCTAAAAGAGCTGTTTTTTCAATTAAAAATTACCTTGACAAGCCTCATTGGGAGCTTTTTAATTAGTAACACCATTGCAATTACATAAAATAGGTATACTGTATATCTCTGTGGAGGGGGGCATTTTGGTCACAATAATTGGGGAACCCTGGGCTCGGATATATCTCTGTTGGGGGGGTTATATCAGTGACAGTAATTGGGGATCTGTCTGTCTGTTGTCTTGCTCATGGTGAGTCATCGCCCTGCAGATGTGAGCAGCTGTTCACGATCACGCAATGGATCCCCTTCTTTCCACATCTCTCATGTCTCTGTCAGAGCCTCATGGATTCTGTGCCTGTGTTCCTCTTCCCCATCATCCTCTCTAGATTAATGGCCTTGAGACAAAGACAAAACTTGCCCTAGATTGACACGGACACCTATTTCAAATGACCGCAAGACAGAGATTAATTCTAGACATTTTTCAGCTTTTCATTTGAGTAAATATGTAAAGGTAGGCAGATATTTAAAAGATATATATGCTGTATATATAGTAAGATATGCATAAGCTAAAAAGCAGTAATGGACCAATGTCAGCAAGTGACACTGCAGGAAGAAGAGTCATTTATGGTGGCTGTGCTCTCATTGGATGAATTGCATCTTCCAATGAGGTCTCTCTTTCTGGATTGCTGTTGTCACATGGCTATGAAAGCCTTCAGGATGATCAGCAGACTCGCCCACACCGAGAGGTGTGGTGCCAGAGAGGCGGCCCCTTTGCTGGGGGTCACAGGGACAGTGGGCGGAGTCGTCGTGCTGGGAGCCCTGACAGAATATATGCATCTGCCCACATTACCCACAGCATCCACCACTACAAGCTCTAGATCAGGGGCGCAGCAAGAGGCACTATAGAACACCTGTGTGACATTGATGCCCCCCTCCCCCACAGAGATGGTGCTGTTGAGGGTGCCGTTGCCCCCGCGGGCAGACACACTAGTGACACCAGTGCCGTTGTCGTCGGTGATATTAGCAGAGAGTTCCCAGCTGGACAGGCTGCAGGTCCCCGAACAGTTACCCGTCGTGTTGCCCTGGCACACTGGAGGGCTGATGTCTGTAACCTGGCCAGGGATCAAAGGTCATTTCTCAGAACAAGGCTCATGTCTGGAGCGAAGCTTAACTCAATTTTTTCCAGCAGCCCAGCGTGAGTGTTGTCCTTGCATTCGATACAGCACCCTTTAGGGGACCCTGGTTACCTTAGCGACGACTGAGAGTCGTACTACTGCATAGTTGGAATCACTGCGATCGGAGGACTCGACCGTGATGGTCACAGTGACATCAGTGCCAGACAGTGTGTCCTTTGGAGCGGTGAGATTCACTGAGCCCTGGGCACTGCCATTCACCAGGGACAGCCTGAAGTGGGCACAATACAGCCAGTTGCCATAATGCACTAGAACCAATCAAAAGTGAAAGCAAGCGAACAATCATAATTAACAGAACTTCATTCTTACATTGTTGTGAATCCCTGAACAAAGCTTTTATCATCACGGACACTGATCTGGTGTAATGGGTCTGACCCAGAGGATCTTACAGTGAAAGGAATGGTGATGGGCACCCCGGGTTCCAGGTTCGATATGCCCTGGACCTGAAATGAAATGACGAGTAGATTTAATGTGACTCCTCCAAGGTATGTTTCCCAGACTAACCTTTGACCACACAATGAAAGCACTCACAGAGACAATCAGACTCGAGGCCTTGATTTCAGTGTTTGACTGCCGCTGGAAGACCGTGCTGGAAGACCGTGAGGAGCTGGCTGACATTCCTGTCACTCGCACGTTAAAGATGCCCTCTGGCATCTTGTCCAATGTTATTAGATAGTTCCCACGGCCCAGGTCCTGTAAGGTGCCGTTCGTCTGGCCAGCCCCTGATGCCTCCACCAGTGACACTTCTGTGACATTTACTGGAGTGTTACTGGTTACTGTGAGGAACAAGGTGGTGTTTGTGCCTAAGAAGAAAAGAGGAAAAGTGTGACACCCTGATTTGGTGGCAGACGCTCTTCACACTACATGGTCTTAAAATGTGACGTTTAAGTGCCGTTTGCCACTAATTTGCAATTAAACTTTAAAATTATTAGTCTTTGTAGCCATTCTTGCAGGTTCTGTAGCAGGATTCTTACCTACTTGGGGACGACCTTCATTTAATTCCATTCCTTTTAGGGGATCCATTAGTATATTAAAAAATGTGAATATGAAGTCAATTGTGCTTTGACCTGCAAAATCCAAATGCACACAGAGTGAAGCATGTACACCTTAAAAGGAGAGATTTACTTGTGGCTTTCTAATGATTCATTCAAGATTCAAGAGATTTATTTGTCATATACAATACAACTTGCAGTGAAATGTATCTCTGTGTCACCCTTATATGGCTGTGTAAAAATAGAAGAGAAAAAAAGAAAAAGGTAAGAAGTAGGAGTAAAAAAGAGAAATTACAATATATAAATATAAATACTATGTATGGAACTAGAGATGTTCCGATACCATTTTTCCCCTCCCGATACCGATTCCGATACTTGGGCTCAGGGTATCGGCTGATACCGAGTACTGATCCGATACCTGGGTGTGTATCTGTATATACAGCTGTAGATACTACTATCCCTGTATTAATTGACAGAATTATTTTATGCTGTGCTTTAGATTTATCCCTTAATAAAACATGAACAAGTACATATAGTGAACTAGAGTGTTTTTATTATCTGACATACATTTAACAGTATTACTTATTTTTGAAAAAAAAACTGAACTTCAACATCTGAAAAAGAACTTCAAATGCAGCCACAATTCTAACACTGTAAACTGAAAAAGGTATTTTAGTATTTTTACAATATAACTGTATGAAAACAGTGGAACAAATAAATCTAGGAATATAAAAAAATAAATAAATAATATAAGAAAATAATAGAAGAATTGATTTCCGATTTGCAGCGTTAAGCAAAGCTAGCGGGCATAACTAGGTTATGTTTAGGAAAATGGTATCGGATCGGTACGTGGACTCAAATACTCGCCGATACAGATGCTAGATTTTTTGGTGGTATCGGCAGCATTTCCAATACTAGTATCGGAATTGGAACAACATTATATGGAACCAAGTATGTAATCTAAAATATACAATGCAATATATACAACCTAAAATCAAGAATCTAAAATACAGTGCAAAAATCTGAATATAGTGCAAATGTGCAGTATTTGTGCATTCAGTACAAACATACATAGTGTACAGAAAGGCCAGAGTTAGTTTAAATTGAGAAGCCTTATGGCCTGGGGGAAAAAACTCTTCCTGAGTCTCTCAGTCCTGGACATCAGGCAACGGAACCGTCTGCCAGAGTTCAGCCTGCGGAACCGGCAGTTTGTGGGGTGTAAGGAGTCCTTGATTATCTTTGTTGATAAGGCTTATCTTGACTATCTGGCAATAAGGCTTATCTGTGATTTTTTTGATGATCAGGCTTATCTGAGACTTTCTGATGATAAGGCTTACCAGTGACTTTCTAACGATAAATCTTACCAGTCATTTCCCTTGAAAACAGCTGATAGTTGGCCTTACCTGTGACTTTCAGTTGATAGGGCTGTGTGGAACTGATGTGGATTTTCCATAATCCCTCCTGCTGGTTGAGCTGAATCCTGTTGAGGTTCCCCACTGCCTGTATGGACCCCAAGGAGCCATTTGGTTCTGCACTGCTCTGCTGGACACCTGGAGGAAGCAGCAATGACCACATACACTCTCCCGTCTGACACATACAGTAAATTCCAATATCCATAAACATATCTACACTGAATTTAGGTGGCTTCATATTCAACATTCTTAAATATAGGCTCCCCTGGGTAATTATATTCAAAGTTTGTAATCTACATTTACTATTTAAAAACACACAGACTGATTTAGGTAAGAACCCTGTCCCTTTGTATGGTCTAGCATCTATCCTTCCACCAAATGCTTATCCAGTTAAATTAAACTGGTTAAAAATTGGCCAATTTGTATTATTCTTGTTTAATACAATTTGGGTAAATAACATAAGTAACAGTACAGAGAAACAGGCTAATGTGGCTAAATTGCTTAAATATCATTATAAATATATTGTCCAGGCTTGTTAGCTCACCTAAAGGATTCTGGAGACTGTATGTGACGCTGTTGCCTGTGATGTAAGCTGTCAGGTTTCTGATGGATGGATCCACCATGAAGATGAAGTCTTCATCCTTCCCTGGGTTCCTCACAGCCTGGAAAAGGGTCACCTGGGGGAAGGGCAGCCACCGAGCAGTGCTTTGGAAGATGATAATGGAAACTAATAGAGCAAGTCATGTCATTCACAAAGGATAGCTAACCAATGGAGAACTAATACAGCAAGTCATGTGATTCACAAAGGACAGACGGCCAATGGAGAACTAATACAGCAAGTCATGTGATTCAAAAAGTGAGAATCTTATTGCACAAAATACAAATGACAAACTTGAAACCTGAAGCCATGTGATTCAAATGAGAGAGAATGAGTAAATATGAGTAAATAGCCAAATCCTGCAAACAGAAATCTGGGAAGACAGATTAATAACAATAGTGTGGCTCAGTGGGCTAAGCCTCTGTGGCTTTGGTTGGAAAGTCGGCAGGTCAAGCCCCAGCCTTAGCAGAATAGTCACATGTCTGTGGGCCTGTGAGCAAAGCCCTTAACCCCAAGCCCCATGGGTGCTGCATACTGAACCTGTGCTGTGACCCTAAAGCCTGCTGTCACCTGTCTGTGTGTTTCATGTAGAGTAACATGGGGTATACCAAAAGAGAATTTCCCTTGGGGTATCAATAAAGTATCACTGATCTGTTCTATACAAGATCAGAAATGAGGTTGAATAAATAATGTGACTTGTGTTTATGAGAGGAGACATGGAGCTAGAAGGGAGGTGTACCAGAGCAGAGGTGGTGGAGTCCAGAATAATGCTGGTGGCCTGGGGCAAGTTGGCCGTGCTAGTCTGTATAGCCAGCCCCCCCGATGCCTGTGCCAGCTGCTGGTATTCCAGGCTGGCAGATGACGATATTCGACTAGAAAATTGCTGCTGTTGCCCTTGATTGTTACTGTCACTGCTTCTTCGACGTCGGCCACCAAAGACTTTTGTTAATATGAAGGTTACCTGGACAGTGAGACAGGATTAAAACTGCTTTTGCTAATAAGGGACATTTAATTTGTATTAAAGGAAAACAGGGAACAGGTACGGATACTTAAGTGGCTCTTGTATCTTTTTGATAATTTGAAGACTAATCAGTTATGATTTGGGGTTTAATTAACGACCAGACTTCCTTTGAGAGTAACCACTGTACAGGATAGAGAGGCTTACATCACAGATGTGTAAAGGGTCATTTCTACCTTTTCTTCTGCTGTCTTGTGCTGTTTAGCCTAGTTTATGGTTCTATTACTGTGAGTCTGACTGACATTTAGACCACATGGAGTCACTAGATCTGAGTGTGTTAATGTGATGGATTGAAAATTCTGTATAATGCAACGGATATGATGTATCAGGACTCCTTGACTGCCAGGGAAACAAGGTCACTGAGCCTCTCAATGGATTGTTGGCTACTTGTGAGTAAATTCACCCTCACTCACCACTGACTTTGTGCTTTCTATCAGTGACAGCACTGTGCTTTTCAGGTAGATATCTTTGGCGGAAGCATCCGTGAAGACAAAAATCTCTGAGAAGGGAGGAGCACCTGTAAGGGCCAGCTGGACAGAGGTGGACAGGGGTGAGCAGTTGAGTGGAGGGAGAAGAAGGGGAGCAAACAACTGTGAGATAAACTGAGAAATCATAAAGCCTATACAAAATACATAGTAGACAAGGTCAATATCTATCTTTATTATTAATATTGTTCTTCTATGATCTAATCTGTCTGTCCGTTAGACCAAGTTGTATATTGGGTTGCTGACTGTCTAATTTAATGAACCATACAACTAACTGACAGGACAGATATGCTGTACGGCTGATCGAGTCAAATCGCCGCCTGATAGGACAGATATGCTGTATGGCTGAAGGAGTCCAATGGTGATCTGATAGGACAGATATGCTGTACGACTGAATGAGTCAGATGGCGGCCTAATAGGACAGATACTCCAACAGTGACAGCACTGTGCTTTTCAGGTAGATGTCTTTGGCAGAAGCATCCGTGAAGACAAATATGCTGCCTGGTAGGACAGATATACTGTGCGGCTGGTCAAATCATAAAATAAAACAAACTTTTTGTTTGACCACCGCCATCTGCATGCTCCTGTTCTTGGATCCTATTCATTTATGCCTCTGCTGTCTACAAGACAATTACCTCTACCACCGGCAACTACCCTCCAACCTGCCTGCCCTTGGCTCAACACGATGCCTCGCCATCCTTCCCTGTGGCTGTGCCTCTATTAATCCTGCCATCGTGCATCAAGCACCACGTGCCTGCACCGGTTGGCCGCTGCATTGAGACATATATTTCAACCCCTGTATTAGCT